ATTGAAACAAAATTCAAAATTCAAAACACAAAATTTTGACTTTAGAGCCAATAGTCAACATTTTGTGAAAACTGATACATAAAACTATAGGGGTCCAGTATATAGTGGCAGCTCAAGCTATCCTGGTCAAATAATAAATAAAAAACACCTAAAACGGTCGAAATTTGACTTTGTATTGTATATTATTATGTATATTATTTGTATTTTGGCGGTCTTCGATGGTCAACAGTGGAAACAAAAACATTTATAATCTTGAGTCGTGTATTCTCGCTACGATGGTTAACTTAACAGAGAGAGGGAAAAATTTATGGCCGATTATTGCCATATACTTACAATATATGTATATGAGTTGCCATTACTTATATAAATTTAATGTTGGCAATAATTCCAACAGACCGTTAGGGAATCTCTAGAAAGTATTGTCAACTAAAATTTACTCTTTTTTTTCTGTGCGGAAATGTCCTCCAATACCACCTACCAGCTATGTCAAACTCGAACCGACTATAACCCGCACGCCGTCTCGGGTACCAGTAGCCGGGGAACCAGGTGTACCCTAGTAAGGAAATCCCTGGTACCCCGACGTACCTCGGGACATCTACGACGGGTAGATGACCCCCTCCTGCGTGGGAACCCACCTGTTCCCATGGTGCTACCAAAAGGTGGTCCAGGTGCTCTCGCCGCCACCCCCGCCTGCTTCAGTTAGGGTGACAGATGGCCTCACCTGTCATCCCCAGGCCTGCGCCTATGGAGGACGGAGGTCGTTCTGCGACCTCCAGCGCCCGAGTCGTCTGCGATTCAAGGGCGGAGAGCGTAATATACAAACCCACTGTCTTATTTATAAGTATTGTTACGAGCTGGGTATATAAGAATTAAATCGAACCATTTAATCCTATGGCGCAACAGTATTATAAAGTTAGAATATGCTAAAGCATAGACAAATATTAGACTGAAGTCTGCGACGGTGACGGTCGACGTTAAATGGTCAAATCTAATGTGTTGTGTGGATAGCTCACACTCTCACACAACACACTCACAAGTATAATAATTTGAAGTGTGTCGAGGTAAGAACTCGTTACCTCTGACATTAGAAATCGTGTGATACCTACGGGGAATACGAGTAGAACGACTATTATTGCTGAGAACACACCTGACTGCATTTCATAATGGAACTAAATTCTCCTTGAGACTTCGCTATAATCGCTATTGATATAATAACCCGCATTTAAGATACCTGTGTAATTGCACTAATGACTGTGACTTGAGAGTTTGCTTTGTAAGACTGTCTTTGATGATCATGACAGCCTGAGCGTGTCAACTTAATACGGAGCAACGTGAGTCTTGTCTTATATTTTTTAAGTCCACCTTAATGCGGTGTTGAACGTACCTATCTACTAAGTTCAACATAAAAAGGTTTCGCCAAGACTAAACGTAATAACATTTTCATAAAGACAAGGCCGGAATGTGGAACGTGACTCACCTAGTGTACAGATTATAACAGTGTGTTTTAACTAAATTAATTAGTTTTAGGGTTAGGCGTGCTTAACCTAAGCCTCTTAAATTAATATTTTAGCAAACCGACCTGGCTTCGCACGGATAGTAGAGCATGCCATATTTTTTGTCGTATCATTCGTTGCATCACGTGTTAGGCCAATATCTAGGCCTATGTTCAGCAGTGGACTATTAAAGGCTGTAGATGATGATGATTCGTTGCATCGAACATGTGGGTTACATTAAAACCATCCTCCTCATCATCTTCTTCTTTCCCAAAATGTATTATACCTGGTATCTGTCGCCACTGCCTCCACCTATGATTCGATGCTGTTTAGAATTATCTATTTCACCATCCTTTTTTACTATTGTGGTAATGCACAACATAATAATATCAGAATGGCGTAAGTTGGATTAAAATGTAACAGAGAAATGTTACTTGAAGTAAATTTATTTAAAATCATGTTAACACTGAAAGAGTACCTAAATACCTAATAGATACAAGTACACAGACAGAAATACTTCTGCATACACAAAATAAAAAAATAAAACTTGTTGGCTATGAGAGAAAGAGAGGAAGAAAATGTGTGCTCGCACCTCTCTCTCTCTTGCCCCTACAGTCATATACGAAACGTAACTCTCCCTCTCTCTTTCTATTTTCACTAACTTATGTCTCCCTTTCAACTTCCGTCACGCATTCCCCAAGACAAGCGTGCGTAAAAAAGTTTTACTTCAATAAATAACTTCTTCCTTCCGTGTTAAATATAGTAACTAACTTTCTAGCATCACTTCTGCTGAACGTCTACCGGGTATATAAATAAAACCAGGATAGTCTAGATTCGTTAAATATCTTTGGATGTATCTCTTCTCATTAAAATTGTTACAAACTATTCACCAACCAGAATAAAACCCGGCAAACTAAACTAACAACAACATATTAGAGTATCGTTACTTATCTCCAATTTTCGTAAAAGGACCTCACACGCACATAATACTAATGATTGAAAGGGTTATCGTCGCGCCGCGCCGCAATCGATTGATCATTGCAATAATCGTTAATTTTAAGATGCTACACCAATAGTGGCATCGGTCATACTCTTAATATAATCAGACCGTGTTCGTCGCCCACAAAGTAACGGTGATGATAGGAATGTGGCAGTAGGTACTCTTCTAGCTAGTGCTAAGCTAGTGAGTCTTATTTCCGTGGTACGCTTGTAGTAAGCGATACTCCATTAAAGCTTATTGTACAGAAAGGCAATTTTAAAACAAGCATAGCCCCTTGCCAACGTTAAACGTATTTTTTTAATTCATTTCTTTATTTTTATTTCATTTAAGAAATTTGATTCAAAATTATTACCCGTCAATCTAACCCTAACCGAGGAACTCTTGTAGTACTTACACTTATAAATAAATATTTAATATATTTATTTCGAACTATCGAACCAGGCTCTTTACATACACGTCCTTTCTCCTTAAAACGCTTAGCATAGCTAGGTTACCTAGGTATTTACATAAACAAAAAATTACTTAGTAAATACTACATAATCTAGTCAAACTTCAAGTATTACGCAAACTTTCGATTGTGAAAAACATTAAAGTGTATCAAATGCATCAAAATGTAAAATGATAAATTTCACTCTTTCTCGCGTCCCAGTATCGGTGACGTATGATCTAGCTGGCACACCTCTCGAGCGTGTCAGCTAAATACGAGACCTAGGGTTAACTCTTGATCAAAAGCTAAACTTCCGCGACCATATAAGGTAAATATGTAAAGACACTAATGAAGTTCTGGGTTTTATTATTAGGACTTGTTTCCAATTTAACAACACGCAGCCTTATTAAATTGCTCTAAAATGCCTACGTGCGTATTAGACTGAAATACAATTCAATGGTGTGGAGCCCGCAAGAAAAATATATACTCTTTCCATTGAAAGAATACGGCGTAAATTTCCCCGACACCTGTACAAGCGAGAGTTTGGTTATTACCCTTCCTTGTTTGTTCCTCTATGTTTGTGTCAAGGATGGTAGGCCTTGATACACTTGAGCTTAGACGAAACTTTGTTCATATTATGCACTATTTGTTGCTAATTCACGATAGGGTAGACAATCCATCAGCGCGTGAATGCATTAATTTGTATGAACCAAATAATTACTTGCGCGGTTGTAGTCGCCATCACCGACTCCTAACTTATAACTACCACATGGCGTCTAACGCAAGCTGTTAGTAGACCCCCGGGAAAAGCTATCCAACTAATTAATGAATTTTTGCAAAATAATGTAGATACAGATATATTTTTTGACAGTTTACCCAAATTAATTCAAAATTTAATGATCTTTTTAAATACTCATAAATAACTGTAACCTATAATGTACTCTGTATAGTGTATATATTTATTGATATGTTGCTATTTTTTATTACATCTTTTTGCTTTAATTCTTTATTTCATGACATTCTATTGCATTGACTTTAGTGGTCATTTCTGATTTTATGAATTATTAATTATAAGTTATTTGTAATTTATATGAACAATTTAATGTATTGTTTTGTATATCTGATCCAATGTAGTAAGGCATATAAGCGTTTTGGTTGTGAGATTGTGAGCTTATAATGTTACTTAAATAAATACATAGAAATAAATAATCTTCTTTCAGTTTAAAGTTAATAAAAAAAATATTTAGAAGAATCAATAGTGCAATCTGGAAAGCTAAACAGTAATAAATTCATCGAACCTGTATTACGTCATCTTCCTATTATAAGACCAAAGACTAAATTCCGGCCCCAGGTTGGCCTATTCATCTTCATCTTGATTTGAAAGGTCATAGTCTTAACGAGTTTGTTGAATTGATTGACATAATTTATGCCGGCTTGGCTCTTAACTATTAAGTACGATAAATATACGTTGCTTCACCTACGCCTAACTCCTCTATGTTACAGTTGCGGTGTTTTAACTATTTTGTATTTGTAGTTGCTGCCCATTCTACCTAAATTACGTGATCTGACACATAACAATATTTAAGTTTAATGTTTGAATGTTTGCTCATAAATACTCATGCATATCTTTTATTTACTTACATCTTTCTCGACAGGGGCTTGACTATAGATAAATAAACAAAAATATATTGGTTGTGACGGTTAAAACACAGAACATCGACCATAAGGACTTTGAATTGCATTTCGATAAGTATTTCATATTTTTATAAAGTGAAAAGGATAAGAAAAACTATTTACTATAAAACTTTCTTTGCAGAGACATCTAGCGTGTTTTAAAGTAAGGTCGTCAACACACGAACCACTACACATCTACATAGTTTTACTACTCAATAATAGATGGCGCTTCAAAAATTTTGTTAGAATCCTATCTCAAAGTATTTCGTTGAAAAATTCAAATAACACCCAAATATTCTAAGAAACAATATTTATAAAAACACCTGTATCTTCAATTTATTTAAGATTTGTACTTTAAACAGACTACTCGCCAGCAGATGGCGCTGTCTGCTATTTTTATATTAATTTAATACTCACCCATAACACCAAGTTGTTGTGGTGACAAAGGTGCAGCATCTCCAGCTCCTGAACCAATAGAACCCGATGCCAGCGATAACCGCTCACTGAAGCCGAGTGGACTGCTGCGACCACCACTGCTTGCTACTGACCCCATCCCTTAGCAAAAATAAATGTAATATTTACATTTGTTAGTTCTTCAACAAATAAATTGTTTTGTTTCAATTGAAAAACTTAAGGATCTGAGAATACCCTTTAAGAACCCAAGAAGCCTGATTTTGGAGATTATTGTACCAGGTTTTCCTGTGGCTTAGTTACTAATAAAGAAAATATAAAAAGTTAAATATTACCTCCATTCGGACTCCTCATTCGAGATATTCTCTTATTAATAGCTCTTTGTATTCGAGGATTTATTATAGGTTTGGCTCGCCGTCTTGCCAAGTACCTTGATAACACACCAACTACAACAGCACTTGTACCCACTACTCCAAGACTCCAAAGTACAACCTGAAATTATCCAAACAGTACATAAATCACTAACAAATTAATTTTACATGTCAATTTAACTTCAATTCCTTCTTCACAAATCTTAATAAATACAAACTTTCAAATGTTACTTTTTAAAAAGTATTCTTTAATATTATTTTTACATAAGACTACAGTAAACTGTTTAATTAATATTGTTTTCATTTTATCATAATATTGAAAAAGAAAAATTATAAGTAAAGTACTCCTGAAAAGTACTTTTAATTATTTAATATTATAATAATAAGCCTTTATGTAAAACCTTTTCAGAAATAGCAAAACATATCAATAATGAACAGTGGTAAATAGTATTCCATCACTGTTAATACCAACCTTTTGTGATGTTGTTAATTGAACTTCACTAAAAGACATAGCTCGATGCCAATATTTTAACTTATCTATCAACGGGCTAGCTTGTATTAAAAGCTGCATTATTCAATTTCAATTAAAATATTCACGAACTTATAACACTTTGTAAATATTATTTACAATGCTGATATAATCACAGTACTTTTAGGTTATCTGTCAAAAGACTACATAAGCAGAAGATATTTTTAAAACACTAAATATATACTTTTACGTAGAAGTATAATACTTTACAATACTGATGTATTAAAGTTCTTCGATATTAATACCTACAACAATGAGTGAATCACTAACTTATTTAATTAAAGTTTAAATATTCGCGGTCTCTAGTATGTCAATTTGACACTGCACAAGAACACAAAAAAATTACACTAACAAATTTGCTTGACAGTAGAATTTTGTGAGCTGGTAAATAACAATTATAGTTAAAATATCTTGATCAATTAAAACAATAAACACTAACTAATTATGACTCTAATTTCTTGAAAAAACATAAAATTCCTCCACGTTGTCGCACACTCGTAGCATATTCAATATTTGTCATTATTATCACGTAGAATACCTACTCTATGTGCAGTGGTTAAAAATTGTATAATCAAATGAAAGGTGATAATCCACATGCTTTGTTTCTACAATCTATGTAAAGTTCAAGTAAATATTCCACCTCTAAGGATAGAAAGTTATGGGACCATTCTATATCATTTATATTAGAATATCCCAGATAAGAAACAGTTGCATGCATAACACAAAAAGCATCTCGAATTCTTGACTGCAAGCAATGTAGGTACATACATACTAGTAACAATATGTATTTAATGTCATGTCAGTATCAAATTTGTTAGGTGCTGTCAGTGTCAAATTTTGTCATTAAATTCAATCAATTTTCAGCCTCTGATAATTTTCAATGTTTTTTATTCTGTGTATAAGTATTATGCAGTTATTTTTAATAATTGAAGTAATGTGATAAATATATATTAGTTACATAGGCACCTCACAAAAACATGGACGTAATTCACCAATCTCTGAGTCAACAAACTCTTCAAAGCACCATTGAAGACCTTCCAGATGAGGTTCTGGAATTTATATTGGGGTTTCTACCACCCTATAAAGATTTACAGAATTGTATGATAGTTTGCAAACGGTGGTACAATTGTGCACAAAGTAAGTTAAAAGTTTTATTCATTCATTTTTTCACAATGAATTTGTGTCACTAATAATAACATAAACCTTTTTTTTTCAGATGTTTTACATAAAACTTCAATCAAATTGATCAAAGCTGTGGGGGAATTTAATATATTATGGACTAACATAGCTCCCACTGATATGGTGCCAACAATTACCAAAAGATTTTCTCATGCAGCTTGTGTTCTTGAAAATAATATGTATATATTTGGTGGCTGTACTACTAATGCAACATCATTCAATGATCTCTGGAGGTTTGATTTGTCTAAAAGGCAATGGATGAGGCCTTTAGCTACAGGTACATATCCTGTCCCAAAAGCATATACTTCAATGGTACATTATAAAGACTGTTTAGTCGTTTTTGGAGGTTGGACATATCCTTCTCATTCCCAATATTACCAGAATGTTACTATGTTTAATGAAATTCATTTTTACTGTGTGAATACTAATAAGTGGGCACTTATAAATGCTATAAATAGCCCTCCACCAATGGCAGGACACTCGGCTTGTATGAAGGGTGATGAAATGGTTGTTTTTGGTGGACTGGTGATGTCAGCTGCTCAAAATTATCAAATCCAATGTTCCAATGATGTATGGGTCCTTGATATCCCATTATTTACATGGCGGAAACAACCAACTACTAAGCCAAGACCGTCTCCACGATATGCACAATCTCTTATTTCTTTAGACTCTGAAAGATTGATGCTGTTAGGGGGAGTTCAAACATTACGTAATCGCTTTGTCTACAGTGATTGTTGGATACTGACAATGAAAGGACCCACTTGGACTTGGAAAGAACTAGCAGTAAAAAATAAAGAATGGGCATCAGCAAATATATGGTGTAACCCAGCATGCAGGGTTGGTGATAAGGTTGTGAGCTTAAGTAGAAGTAGAAATGGTTGGAATAGTGCAAAACCTTTAGTGACATCAGCGGTAAGGCTGTCAGGTATAAATAGACCTGAAGGAGCACCTGTCTCTGTTCGCATTGAACAGAGCTTACAAAGGCCTGTGGACCGAGATCAGAATATAAATGGTAGAAGAGGAGTGCTACCAAGAAGACCCTCAAACCATCCAAGGCTAGAGCAAGTAAATCATGACAATGAACCAATTGCTGGTCCAAGCAATGAGCAGAGGCAATCTCAAAACCTAGTAGGGAGTAAGGATCCTAATTCTGAACAAAATAGTTTTGGTGCTGGAATTAGTAATGGCTTAGATGCTGGCAAAAAAGATTTAGCTTTGAGAAGAAACAAAAATAAGGTTAGTTATTAAGATCTTTATTGAATACTAGTAAGAATGAATCCTTGAATCAATTACTGTTGGCAGTAGATATGATAGTACAGACAGTAGTTGTTGATAAGCCCATTAATTTAGACACCTGAGATGCTAATAGTATTTTGTATTTACTTTTGGACATTTCTAATAATGTCATAGTTAAATTTAATAAATGCTGGTTTGTCATTAAATTTTATGAGAATATTTTAATAAATAGATGCAGTTGTGGATGTTATAAAAACTTACACAAAAACTTATTAAATAAGATTTTTTTCTGATTTCAAACACATGTTGTCCAGTTTTTGAGGGCTATCGGCTACAATTTTCAATTTGTATTTTTTCAATTTCAATTTTGTAATAATCCAATTTCTTTTGCAGAATAAGGGAATGAAAATAGTAAGACAGTTGCAAGAAGCTAACAAATATAGGATGGCAGCATTTGCATGTGATCCGTCCAGCAACACAGCACCTGAAAATGATCTCATTAATCAAAGACAAATAGCTCATTTAGAAAATAGAAGAGAACCACTGCCTTCTCCACCCAATCCTCAACCAAGTCAACCAGCAATCAAAAAAATTAAACGTAACACTTTGACTATGCATGTGCTTGATATTTCAACTGTCCTAAATGGTAATGCTTTCAATTACGTTTCATGGCTTTGTCCTCGTTTAGGTGAAATGACTGGTGCTCCTGAAGAGTTAGTTATGTATTCCTTGGTAAAAGGAAATGGGGAACTGATAATGTTTGGGGGTGTTCATAATGATATCAGTAATTTAAATTATTCAGAACAGCAGAGTATGTACTCAAATTCATTGCACTTTATCTCACCACCCAGAGATATAATATAAAATTAAGTAAAGTTAATGTTTGTTTTTTTTTTGTGTTTGGTACTTCACTTTTTTTAATAAATAAAAACGAATTTATTTTGCTTGGCGGCACTGACAGATTATTACAGTGTGGTTTTTAAATATTAGTGGAGAATTTATTGTTATCAGTTTATTTTGTGGAATTTTAAAGCACTATATAGAGTGTAGGTAAAACATAAGCTTTTATGAAAATGCTATGTAAAGACTTAATTTCTGCACTAATAATCCATTTCAAGATCTAATAAATATACAATATTTAATAATTTAATAAAAATGTGTTCTGTGATTTCTGTTGTAAATATGGCTTAATGTATAATGTAACTAAGCTTACAAATAAAAGTTGATTTATTACTAGAAATGTTTATTATTACAATTCATTACAGCATAAAAACACTAGAGTCCTTAATCACTTTCTTTAACCAGACCACCAAAAACAGCAGCAGGAATTTCTTTCTTTTGAACTGGAGCTTCTTCTTCCTCATCTTCACTGTTGTCTGATTCTTCATCAATGTCAATCTCATCAGGATTGACTACCTTATCCCCACTTTCTCTATTAAGACCTTGTGTTTCTCCACGTACAAATGCAATATTACCCTTGCTTTGAACAGCCATTTCAGCAGCTTTTGCTTCAAGCATTCTCATACCATCCTTCATACCTGGAGCAAGATCTGAAATAGTACCAGCTGCTTGTGCTGCTGAACTTAACATCTGTGCAGACATCATATTTACTTGAGTATTGTAAGTGGCTTGAACACTTCTCTTAATTCTTAGCATTTCTCTCATTGTATCTTCATTACCATGCCTAACTTCAAATTCTTTCCATGTGTTCCAGAATTCAGCAGTAATTCTTGGATCACACATTTGACTACAATGTGCATATACAGCACGAGCTCTATCTATTTCGCCCAGACGTGTCTCCATTTCTGAAAATCGTAAACACATTTCTCTTGCCTTGTCATCAGGAAGTGTCTCAATAGCCTTTTCATATATCTGACGAGTTTTTGGAACACCATATATTTCAGCAGCTTTTTTAATATAAATATTAAACATTTCAAACATTTCTTCTGGTAGAACCGCTGTTGTTGCCCTCTCGTATACCGCCATAGCATGTCTAGCTAAGCCATGCTCTTCTTCCAGTTTTGCATAAAGGAGAAATATTGATTTTGCAAACTCTGCAGGACAGTGTTCTAAACATTGTTCAAATAAATCTCTTGCTCTTTCAAGTTTAGACCCCCCATATCTTTTTAAAAACTTTGTTAGGTAAGTATTCCAAATATCATAAACATTAGGCCATTTGAAAAGTGCTATACCTTTTTCATATGCTCTAAAAGCTTCTTCAAAGTAATTGTGTTCTTCTAAAAATAAACCATAGTTTATTATAATTTGTGGTGTAGCAATTTTCAAATCTATAATGTGATCATATACTGCTTTACATGATTTATATGTACCAAAACTTTCCTCCAAGTCTGCATACATGGACCATACTTTAAGAGACTTATATAATCTCATTTGCACTGTTTCAGTATCATCATGGTAGGCAACTTTTCTACTTGGCAGCACTGTAGCTTTTTGCATTAATTTAAGAGCATCTTCATAGTTTTCATGTCTGATTTCCATTTCTGCCCATTCACACCAGACTGAAGCAAGATCATCAACTTTAGCATAGTTGACTTGTGTAGCCTTTTCAAAAATGAGCCTGGCATCTTCTATTTGTTCATTCTTTTCATAAAACTTTGCAAATCCAACCCATAGTGTATACAACTTACCAACAGCTAGTTTAGGATCTACTGTTTGTACTGCTTCAGTATAGGTATCAATGATTTCATGTGGTTTGTCTTCATACAGTTTAACTCTTTTATGCCATTCTGCTACATTATGAGGATTCTGCCTTAAAAGTACTGAGTTAAGTAACAACAGTCTTCTTTCCATAAGGTGTTCAAATCTTGCAAGTCTAAGTTCCAGATCAATATCATCATCTTCTGTAGGGTTTGTCTTTTTTGCTGCTTCTTCCATTTTTTTACTCAAACTTAGTTCTTCAAATTGTGCATATGCATCAAAAATTTGTGTGAAATCTCTTACTGTGGTTACTGTTTGTATAGCTTCTTCATAGATGTCTCTTGCTCTTTCAAATAAACCACTTCTCACATAATAGTCAGCTAAAGAGTTCCACAAATGTCCTAGTTGATCAGTGTAGCGCCTTAGCCCACCTCTTATAATTGCATCTACATTAAGAGAGTGTATTTGCTCAGGATTTTTTGATATCAGCTCACACAGCTCATTCCATAGTTGATGGTTTGATTTGCCATGCTTAGACTGAAAGTTTTCATTGTTGACAATTTGTGCCAACTTCACTGCTGCTTCATCTAATTTGTTTATAGATATAAGGTAGTCAATATATTCTTCAGTGTCTTCAGGGCTCAATTTAAGATATCTTCTAAATACCCGAACAGCAGTTTCAGGAATATTATGCTTTTTAAGAAAGTTTAAATAAAGGGGCCATATTCTATGATGTTGTGTAATAGGTAAGGCCCTTAAGGCACTATCAAAAGCTTTTCTAGTAATTGTAATTTTACATTGATCAGTTAAGAATGTACAATAATCCATCCATATCCTGGGCATTTTATGCATAAATACTAAGGATCTTTCAAAGCAGTTGTTAACATCCGCATAGGATGGGTCTGTAATGCATCTGCCCTTAATTTGACTTCTTCTTAACTTCAGATAGTTATACCATAATTTAAAGGAACCTGGCAACTCTTTCAAGGATCTCTCATATATCATATTAATTTCATTTTTTGGAGCAGCTTTCTTGTGGTCAATATAGCGAAGCCAATGCTTCACAGAAAAGGGGTTTCTTAGAATCTCTTCTTCATATGGAAGATCTTCTTCACTCTGAAAAAATGACAGTTTTCAACGTAAGCTTAGCTAAGTAATGGTACTTAGAAGAATTTAACCACCAACAAGAGTGTGAATGTGGAGTTTTGACGATGTTCATAATTGGAAAATACTTATGAAGAACTGACAATTGTCTACAATGTTTACAAGATTAAGATTAGACCACTTAACTAGCATCGTATTAGAATACAACCTTATACATTATAATAACAATTATTTTTTTACTAAAAATGATTAGGAAAACTTACAAAAAATATATCAATTTCTTTGCCGTCAAGTATCGGCATTTTGCTTTTGTATCTTTTTCGCTACACACTTATTTCTAGCAGCAGCAGGTCATACAAGAATTTCAATTAGGTTTTAAACTTTTATAGGTTAGAGTAAACTAACTAATAATACTTGTACTAAAATGCCGAAATTCTGTGTTTATAGAAGTAATACTAAAAGGTTGTTTCTAATTTATTCGTACGTCCGTCGTAATGAGCGGAGATATTTAATAAAATACTATATGTACATTCAATTTGTTGTTTGACAAAATATAGTGTTTATTCTATATCTAAGTATAGACAGGGTCTGTCAACTTTGTTCTTAGAACAAGATGTAGGTGGGCTTGAAAACAAGAAAGAGACAACAACATTAGAGTAAAAGAGATGAATTATAAAATGTTGCCACCAAAATTACAATTTCGTTTTCTCCAAAACAATGAGCTAAAAAAGAAAGTCACCCTTAAAAATATATTTTGTGATTATTCTGATACCCAAAAAAATTATTTTGCTAAGAAATATAACATATTTAATTGATCAATACACAAAAACAAAAAAAAGATAAGGGGGAAAATGTGTGGCAACTACTGGCAACACGTTTGACGTCACAAGAAAAATGTCTGCCTGCGGTTCCCGCACCATTTTATCTTGTACCTATGTTTATTTGTAATAAATAAACTAGTTGCATTTAATTCTACATACATTGTTACCGTGAGTCGAGTTTGCTCCTCCGTGGCTGTGTTTTGGTGAAATTAAGTGTGTGTTTGTGAGATATAGACTCGGTGTTGAGATAGTGACTTGTTTGATTGTGTGTTTAATTTTCGCAATGAGTTCGCAGAAAGAAAACACTAGAATCTGTTGCATGTGTGGATCTTCACCTTCTAAAGATTCCAGCATCACTTTGCATCGGTTTCCTAAGCCTGGCTCAAAAAATGCTCTGCGGTATGTACCTACCTAAGTACTTTCCATGCTATTCGTTTACATCCTTTAAATCTCTTTCAATCAAAGGAAATACAGAAAGTTTAGATTGTTATTTAGATAAAACTTAATTAAAAATATGATTATTAACCCTTTCCCCCCGGGGTAGTGATTTTTAACAAATTTTCGCTTTTGAACTTTATTTACATAATAAGGTAAGTAAAACGAAACGCACAGATTTTTTTTAGATTTTTATTATACCTAGAAGTACTATTACCAAGACCTAGACTTAAAAGTGCCGTCAGGAACTTCGTGTTATCACAATGTTAGGAACTTGTATAGAAACTACAAAATAATGAGATCCAATATTGACTTAGTAATAATTAAATTATTAGGTTTTTAATTACAGATTAACCTCATGGTATTCAACAAAACAATTTTTCTTCTCATTTACACACAAAAACACGTTGCAATGCGAACATTTACTATGAGGTTTCGACTGAACCTTATTCAAGCTACAAACTTTACACCTTCCCCTGTTCTCTACGAATGTAGACCAATGGATGCCTCTGTTACCCATACATATAGAATAGTCAGATTTGCGCCTTTTTGAAGGGTCGCCATCCGCAGTGTTATCAGTAGAAGTCTTTCTATTCTGACTAGCATTTTTCATTGTCAGTCTCTGGGCATTTGGACATTTATCATTGCAATGCAGATGAGATAAAATAATTTTAATTTCCTTTTTAATTTTAATTTCGTATTTTATTTTTTAATTTTAATTTTTTTTTTAATTCCCAGGTGTGAATTATAGGCAAAGTATTGCTTTCCATACAAAGCCTGGTCTTCACCAAAATTCCAGGATGAACTCCATTCAAAACATAAGATGCTTTGCAGCAAACATTTTGAAAGCACATGCTTTATTGAGAAGAAGTTGTTCAGAACAGCTGTACCTGGTGTTCAATGCCATAAGGTTAGTACAATTAATACTTTAAAAGTGTATTTAAAGCTATTTACATTGCAGAGAAATACAGACTTTATGTTATGTGTAACACATAATATTATGTAGCAGAATGATGTTGTTAACATAAATTTAAGAAAACTTGGGCAATTACAAACATGCAAAATGAGTCATAAATTTAGATGGAATTTGGTATGTAGAAACTTTGATTCTTGAGGAAAAACATGCTACTTTTTACTGCGATAACCGACATTTACGCGGAGGGAGTGCATTTTTACCGCGATGACCGACATTTACGCTGGCGGAGCCGCGGGCAGAAGCTAGTTATAAATATTTCTTATATATATAATTTGCTTACCTCAACTATGACTTATATTAATTTAAGGATTTAAATTAATTTATTTAAAATAAATATGTTAACCTTTCATTTTCAGGACACAACAATTTCTAATCTGCCAGATCAACCTGCCATATTTGAACCTGTTGCCGGTCCATCCAGAATTTATCCTTTAAGAGAACATAATGCAAACATTATCACTCCAACCAGTTGTTCAGGAATGATTGTGTGCGAGTCTTCAAAACAAGAAGGAGATAAGAAAAACAAAATGTTGATAAGGAAACTGAAAAATAGTATGAACAAAGTGTATAGATTACAAAAAACTGTAAAATATTTAAAAAATGAAGCATTTTTAAATGAAATCTCCAACAATGAAACAGTAAAAAAAATCCTCAATAAAAAAATGAGTTCATCATTTGCCCTGTTACTGCAAGGAGAACTGCAGAATTATAAGAGGAAGAAACCTGGACGCAGGTGGAACATGGAAGCTAAAATAATAGCATTGAGGCTCTATAAAAGGTCACCAACATGCTACAAGTTATTGAGGAGAATGATTTGTTTACCAGCACCCAGCACATTAAAATCCCTCTTAAGCAGATTTAGGATGAATGTGGGGATACACAAAACAACACTTACAATGTTGAAAAAGATTACAAAACACTTTGGGCCATCTGAACGAGAGTACATATTGTTGTGGGATGAAATGTCATTAAGAAAAAATTTATGGTACAACTCTAAGTCTGATCAAATTGAGGGTTTTCAAGACCATGCCACACAAGGTAGATCTCCACAGGCAGCTTCATATGCGCTTGTATTTATGGTGGTTGGAGTTAGGAAGCCAATTAAACAGCCAGTGGCTTATTACCTATCAAGTGGATTTGTCACAGCTGACAGACTATCTGTTTTGATTAAGGAGGTATGCATTTCTTCTTCATTTTGAAAGATGATCATGCTTATGTTAAATAAGCTAAGTTACTAATCTGCCTTAAAAAAATTTCAGGTTTTAAATTGTTGCTTTAATGCTGGCCTTAATATATGCGCTTCAGTTTGTGACTTGGATGGAGTCAACAAGAAAGCTCTGTGTCTATTAGGAGCTTCTGTAGAGAATCCCTATATAGAAGTGAGCAATCACAAAGTAGTCACGCTATTTGACACACCACACTTGCTGAAGTGCTTCAGAAATCTGTTCATGAAATATGATGTAAAGTTTATGACCAATATAACATCAGACAACAAACAAGGAATTGGTAAGTCATTGTTATTTAGTTTAAAAAAAGTGTTTAATAATATGTATGTAGTTTATACTTAACTAGCTGACCTGCGCATCTTCGTCTGCGTCTTTCAATAGTACAGGGTGGCGCAATAGAACGTGCATATTTAAAATATTGATTAGAAAATAAATACAAAAGGTATAGTTAAAATAAAACTGAGGTATTATTAAGAAATAACTGAAGTTTATTTTTTAAAAATAACATCGTCTAAATGATGACCCTCTCTACGACGACACTCCTCTAATCGCAAACGGAAGTTATTGAAAACTTTCTTCAGTAATGCTGGTGTAATTGCTGCCATTTCACCACGGATATTCTCCTTGAGCTGATCGTTGTTTTTCGGATTATTACTGTAGACTTTGTTCTTGAGGTATCCCCACAAAAAAAAGTCAGGAGGCGTCACGTCTGGACTACGTGGGGGCCATGGGATATCACCTCTTTTCGAAATCAGTCTGCCAGGGAACATCTGTTTCACAACCGCCATGGAGTCATTTGATGTGTGACAGGTAGCTCCGTCTTGTTGAAACCAAGTCCTAGAATTCACTATTCTTGAATTTTCAAGCTCTGGAGCCAAAAAACCTTCCAACATCGCAACATAGCGTTCGGTATTAACAGTGACGTTTTGCCCCCGCGCATTTTCAAAGAAAAACGGTCCAATTATTCCTCTACCAGAGATTGCTGCCCATACTGTCACTTTAGGACTATGCAGTGGTTTCTGGTGCTTGAGTTTGGGATTCTCACTGTTCCAGTAACGACAATTTTGACGGTTTACGAACCCATTGATATGGAAGTGGGCCTCATCTGAGAAAAGGATATTGTCAAAATTGGAAAATCGATTAAGCATTTCATTAGCAAATGCGAGCCTTGCTCCGAAGTCAGACTCTTTCAATTCTTGTGTTAACTGCAGCTTGTAAGGATGCAGTTTAAGATCCAAGTTTAAAATTCGTTGCAAACTTCGTCGCGATAAGTGTAAGACAGACGATCTCTTACGAGTAGACATTTGTGGATCTCCTCGTACAGACTGCATAACTCTCTCAATATTGTCGTCGGTCCTAGATGTTCTTGGACAACCTTTTGCTTGTGGTTTAAACGTTGAACCAGTCTCTTCAAAACGCTGTACCCGTATTTTAATTAAATTAGCACTCGGAGCTTTACTAATTTGCCGTAGTCCATATTCAGAACAATATAAACGCCTAGTAACGATGTATGAACGAGAGTTCTCGTAAAATGCGCGCACGCAAAATGCGCGACGCTTCCCGTCGAAGTGACTCATAGTGACTAAAACTCCATGAGCCCGCCTACCCAACGATGCAGGCTCCCCCCGCCCGCGCACTTTCTACCCCGCGAAAAAAGATGATGCAATATGCACGTTCTATTGCGCCACCCTGTAATAAATTTTCTCCGTTTTTGAAACATTCTTTATTGGTGCTCCGCTCCTATTGGTCTTAGCGTGATGATATATAGCCTATAGCCTTCCTCGATAAATGGGCTATCTAACACTGAAAGAACTTTTCAAATCGGACCAGTAGTTCCTGAGATT